TAAAATATTTTCGGGGTTTGCGGTGCGTTTTCTGCAGGACAATGAGAACTAAATCCCCCCATTAATGCTTCACACCATTTGCCTTGTGTCCCCTTTTATTGCTCCAGCCCTTTTTATAGGGGCGAGATGCTTAAGTTATTTTATTTTTTTATTTTCTCCCAACTTTCTGTTTTGACGGAGTCAGCGTTTTTTCGTGGTTTTATGGTAATTAACGCCGGGATAAACCGCAGATTTATTGCGGCGTTTGAAGGTGTGCAAGAAGTCGTGGCCATCATAGACAAAGGTTGGCTTTCTTGGTGGAACTGCCAAGTATCTGGGTCTTGCTGTGTGAGCAAAAGTGAGTTAACCTGTAAAAAAGGAAAAATTTAGCTCTGAGTGGTATTAATAGGGCAGCTTGCCTTTCTCTGTGTCCCTGAATTTGTCTCATACTTTCCAGGTGGTGCTTGTGCACCCTTTTTTTTTTTTTTCTCCTTCCCTCTTCTTTTTTTGGTGATTAATTTCTGGACACTGTTGCCAGGCAGAAGATAAAAGGAAGCTGAATTACTAAATTTAATCTTGCACGGTAGACCGTGTGCAGGTTGCTTAACGCTGTTAAAGAGTCATCTCTGTTTCATTTTTAACTAGGAATCACCGTGGAAAGCATTATTTCAATTACAGATCTTGCAGGCGGGCCTTGAAATGGCAGCAGTTGCAACTTTGTCAGTGTTGAGAGGTGGGATTACAAATTAAAGCTAGTTAACTTCTGCTTCACTCTATAAGGTGAATCTGGCAATCTTGCCTGCTTTCAAGTAGGAAGAATTTGTCCAATCATCCAGCAGTTAGTCCATGAGTGGGCCAGAGACCCTTGTTTCTGGGACACAGTGTTCTCAAGTGCTGTAGCAAGTGTGTAAATGGCTTTTATTCTGAAAGAGAAGCCCAAGTAATGTATAAAATGTGTGCAGGTGGAATAGCATATTGTTGTTCTTCCCTCCTAGATGATGACAATTCAGAAGAAGGCCTTCACACCATCCACTCGGGAAGGCATGAATATGCATTCAGCTTCGAGCTTCCACAGACGTAAGTGCCTGCACGCAGCCCCCAGGGCCTGGCCTGCCCTCCTGAGCATAACTCCTGCTGTGGGTGGAGGGGAAACCTTTTCAATGGTGGTAGGAATTGTGCTGCAGACATGCAGCGGAGGACATAATCTCATTAAACTGAAGAGGTTGCTTTTAAACTGATACACACTTCCTTTCTCTTTTAAATTTCCACAAAACGGGAGCTCATTGCTGCCCATTTGCTCACTTTCTTTTGACCAGGTTGGACTGACTTACTGGGTCTTGCAGTATTTTACCCCTTCCAAAGGGAAGGGAAGGGAGTTTGAACCCTCACTGGAGTACTGCAGAGTGGCTAAGATACCTTCTAACCTAACCGACAGTTTACTGGAGTCATGCAGACCAGCAGAAGGAGAGATAAGATCACAGCTGAATTGTTTGGGCTCAGACTGGAACAGATGTGGCAAGTCTAGTGACACTTGAACAAAAGTGGATCTTGTTCTCATTTGAATAGGATATATGTATCCAGGCTGGCCTTTACAAAGAAAGCCTGGATGGAAATAAGCAAGATCAGTGAGTGGAAGGAGTAGGGATAGTTATAGTACCTAATTACACTTTTCTTAGAAAGCAAAGATTAAGCAAGATTGAGAGCAGATGTGTTAAGACAGAAGATTGTTCACTCCCCATGTCTGAAAAGTGTAATGTACGCATGGTGAATGGAGGATTTACACATAGAGGAGTTACCAGTGTGGAAATGACACCAAAAAATGAAGGTGCAATAAAATTAAACATGCAGGAACAGAGGGAGTCTTGACGTGGATGGAAAAAGGAGCCTTTAGCTGCAAAAGGCAAGCAATGCAGTCGTTAAGGTTGGAAACACTTGGCAGTGTGTGAAACAGCTCAGTACCCAATACTAAAGCTAATAAACCATCTCTTTATTAGAGGTGCTGGTTTTAATGGAACCTGCAGAAGATGTACAGGTCAGTTTCAAAGGTCACAGCAAAGGGCTTCACAGTGTATCTTCCTGTAACAGGGAAGATGACCTGTATACCTGGAGATTGTTGAAAGGAATTTAGCTTTCTCTGAACATGGCAACTACAAAATTAAGGTTAATGCTTAACCTCCTCTTGAGTTGGAAGGGGAATTTAAATACCAAAAAAATGGGTATACATGAACTTACCTTGAAGTGAAGCAGGTAGCCAGTGAAGTTTACAAGTACTGGTCAAAACACAGGTTCTTTTTAAGTGGCCTGTATGAACAACTGTGAAACCAGCTCTTTGTAATACTGAAAGCACAAAGGCTGGTATCAGAAGCCTGAAATTAGACACTGCCTACTTAATTGTTATTTTGTGTCCATAGAATACTTCCAAAATGGATTTAAACTACAGAGCAACAGTGGAAAGAAAGAAGACACACACTGGCCTTGCCGATTTCTGCCCTAAAGAATATGAGGCAGAGTGAAACATGGAAATTGGATTAGAAAATCCTTTAATTAGGATTATTGGGAAAAAAATGCACGTTTCAGATGTGCAAATAGAAAATTCAAACCTGTATCTGAAATAATCTTTCCATCAAAGTACTAGCACAGCTAGTACTGTTCCCTATGAAGGATATGGAAGCGAAGCTTTGCAAATAACTGGTGATTGATTTATGTACTGCAGCATATTCAGAATACTGTATAGTAAAAAAACTTGCCCCAAAATAAGGAAAAACATTGTTGAAAACTACTGTTAATTGGAGATAACTGGAATATAAAGATGCTTTGTCTTTCATTTTACGATGTTGCAGAAAAGAAAGGTGATGCTGAAAGGTTTGGAGATCATTTCCACAGTTTTGCCTCCGGCTCCCAAAAAAGGGACATGCCTATCTGTCAAAGCTCAGAATAGGCTTGATGATTTTATGTACATGTATGTTTATATGCATACATCCATATACAATAGGTTAAAGCTTCTCTCATCAGAGTAGAGGAAGATTAGAAGGTGCTCAAAGTAGCCTCTCTTCAGAACTCTAAATTGGAGTATTTGCTCCCCTTAAATTACGAAAGTGTGCTGAGTTACAGCTAAAACTAACATAACAGTGAGATACCAGCCAAGTAAACCATAGAAAATTATTTACAGTATAGGCTGTTCAGAACAATTGGTGGATACTAATTGCTAATTTTAAGTTGGTAGTCTTAATTTGGTCCCAAAGCAGCATGCCTTACTCTAGATGCAAAAGTGGCCTCTTAAGTTTAAAGGAAATGTGTACTCTCCTGGCATTTTCTAGTACAATTCTTTTAATTGATTCTTAAAATCTTTGCAAAACTCTAGTAGGATGAATTGGAGATGATTTTTTCTCCCATCTTTATTCCTGATTATTTTTTTTCTGAGATATGGAAACTTTGCAGATAAGTTACGCTGCATTAAATACTCCAGTGCATTTAAAAATGCAGTTCTGCATACTAATCCCTGATCTGATAAATTGTGTCATTATTAGACAGAAAGACTTTACTCAGTTTTGACCTTTGTGTCCTGCACAGACCACTTGCTACCTCATTCGAAGGCAGACATGGCAGTGTGCGCTATTGGGTGAAAGCCGAATTGCATAGGCCTTGGTTTCTACCAGTAAAATTAAAGAAGGAATTTACAGTCTTTGAACATATAGATATCAACACTCCTTCATTACTGGTAAGAATTGACAGAATTACTCATTTTTTATTTCTGGCATAAAAATAATGAAGTATAATAACTGAAACAAATGTCCACATCTAATTTTATTTAATATTTATTCGCTACTTTAGTTACAGCTGACCTTCATACCAGTTCAGCAACTCTTTTATCTATTGTTACTTTGAAAGCTATGTTTTCTTGTACTTGGAGTTGCTTCACTTCTAACATGTAAAATTTCTTTTATTGATTTAAATTGATAATACAAAACTGTGATATGTCACAAACAAGAATTTTGAGAACTGTTCCTCTTCGAGTAAAGAATAATCTGTGGAGGGAACAGCAGAACTTTAAAAGAACATCACAGTGAGAGACTGCTAACTTAAAAATGCAAAGTAAAAAATGTACCGATGTGCATAATTGGTGATTTCCATATGGATAGTTTTCTGCCAATGGGGAGAAATTATCACAATTCTGTATAATGTTTTTCTTAAATGCTATTTCATTAAAATAATGTCAGTATCACTACTGCTTTCAATGAGGATTTGATTCAAATCTGGCCTAAAATTCCTTTACTTTTTTTCCTCCTCTTCCTCAAATTCTGATCTATGGAGGGGGGAAAAAACCCCTCAAAGTCCATTGAAACAGGTTTCTTGTGTGTATGTGTGAAAAACCAGACTTGGAAAGAGACATTGGCCTTGCACAAATTCCATTAAAATCAAAGGACTGTCATTTGACTTTAATGGGCTTTGGATCAAGTCCTAAATCCTGATATAATGTAAAATAACAAAGTCTGTTTAATAGAGATGAAGTGGGATCATTCTAAAACAGAGGAAACAGCAGGAGTCAAGGTTACAGTACTTCAGCTTAGTTACTGTTTCTGAAATACAGTCTGCTGGAAAGATGTTCTAGTTTACTGATAAATTAAAAGCTCTGCCAACAGTCTGTTGTGACATGAAGTTTTTTTCTTAGTTATACAGTATTTATAAGTGTGACTATAGTACGATAATGTAGCAGGAAAAAGTATTGTTAATGAGCAGTGTTAATTAGAATAAACCTTGTATGTGCATAGTACTGTTAAAATTGCTTGAGATTTTTGTCTAAGCAAAGCTAGCTGTGTTTATCAAAATACGTTGTAAGTACATTAGGACAATCATTTTGTGTTGATTAGGTGGAGAGATGAATGAAACTCTTAATTTAATGGGTAATGTTGTTTTTTTTCTTGCAGTCACCCCAAGCAGGCACAAAAGAAAAGACTCTATGTTGTTGGCTTTGTACCTCAGGCCCAATATCCTTAAGTGCCAAAATTGAAAGGAAGGGCTACACCCCAGGTACGTAACAGAAGTAATTAAAGGAAATGTTTTTCCTTCCCTTTTAAAAAGACAGTTTGTACTTTTCTGCTTTTATGTAAACACAATGTTTAAACTATTCATACCACCTCAGTCTGCATTCAGCAGTCTTCTCTGTATTTTCTTAATGACTTAATTTTACTAATCAATGCTAGCTGTGTCTCTGGATTGTTGACAGATAACTGCTTCTATTAGATCTCTATATGTTGTTCTTTTAGATTAGCTCATGGTGATCATATTCCTGTTAGCACCAGTGAATGTTTTTCATGGTAGAGCATTGCTAGCAGCATCCACTGCATTATAACAATACACAGAATGAGGCAATTTGCTTAAGCTGCCTTGTAAGTACAAAGAGAACATGAAATTGTTTTATTTCAGGTGAATCAATTCAGATCTTTGCTGAGATTGAGAACTGCTCTTCCCGTGTGGTGGTGCCAAAGGCAGCCATTTACCAAACACAGGCATTTTATGCCAAAGGGAAAATGAAGGAAGTCAAACAGCTTGTTGCCAACTTGCGTGGTGAATCCGTGTCATCTGGCAAAACAGAAACCTGGAATGGCAAACAGTTGAAAATTCCACCTGTTTCCCCTTCAATCCTTGACTGTAGTATCATCCGTGTGGAGTATTCACTGATGGTATGTTGGATGGTCTGTCTCACTGGGGCCCGAGTGGTTTCCACCATTCCTTGCAAAGTGTAACAAAGCATTATTCTGTGCTAACAAGTTAGAAAAGAAATGTGTATCTTAGTATTAGCATCCTGACTGGGGCTCTGTAAATAAGTTCAGTTTATATCATGCATGTTCTTAAACCAGTTTAAGATGTGCCAGCTTAAGCAAATGTGGTATGAGTAGGTGATACTTCCATGTGGGGTTCAGTTAAGGATCCTGAGCTATTTGTCTCCTCAGAAGCACTGGGTCCTAAAGCAGACATTGGGAAACAGACATTGGGAAACTTTAAGTTCCTTATGGAGAATTCCATGGCCAGAGAACTTGAGTCATACACTTACAGAGTGCTCATATGAACATGCATTTCAATGATACACCTTTTTTGTTCTTTTTCAGGTATATGTTGATATTCCAGGTGCCATGGATTTATTCCTTAATTTACCACTGGTCATTGGTACCATTCCTCTACACCCATTTGGTAGCAGAACATCAAGTGTGAGCAGCCAGTGTAGCATGAACATGAATTGGCTTGGTCTGACACTGCCTGAAAGACCAGAAGGTAACTTGACAATACAAGTGCAAGTTAACATGGCTAATGTTTTTATTTTTGTCTGCTTTATTCTTTGATGTTGTGTGAACAGACACAAATTTGTAATAAAGTTGATGTTTCCTTGCCACCTGCCTGTCCTCTGCAGAAGAAGAGTTCCCTCCCTGCCTTCCCCTATCAAGGAGAAGGAGTGAAATCCAGCTGCTTGGAAGCAAGCAAAAAGTTAAAGTGCAGGATGCCATCATAACTGTGCAGAACCAATTCTGCCTCTGGTATCCCAGTGGTATCCTTGGTTATAATAGCAGTTTATGGTGTCCTTTACCAGCTTTAGTAACCATGGCCATGTGAAAAGACATAGCTAATTTAAATGGGAAACTTCTGTTCTCAAAGGAGAAACTCTTCTCTTTCACATGTCTGATAAGCATTGCTTATTTTATGCACAAATCCCAGACTTAATGTGTCTTGGGAGTCCAGAGGAATGCCATGTTCTGCCATTCCTACCTGTACAGAAAATCAGTTTAAATGAAAGGAGATAATAAGCAGTGGTCAGCCTGGTCTTGGGTTTGAGCATAATCTTAATGTAAAATGAAACAGCATGCCCTCCCATTCATGTTCAACAACTATTAAAAATTCACTGAAATCATTTACCTACTTGCTAATGAATTTTACAATGACAGAAGTTTAATATTTACCATGTTATATGTTCTGACATGCATAAGAACTTGTTGTTCGAACTGCGTGTGCCTTTTCCCTGCAGCACCTCCGAGCTATGCAGAAGTTGTCACAGAGGAACAGAGACAGTCCAGCCTTGCACCCATAGGTGCTTGTGATGACTTTGAGAGGGCACTTCCAGGACCATTGTTTGCATACATCCAGGAGTTCCGTTTTCTGCCTCCACCCCTCTATTCAGAAGTAGGTACCTCAAAGAGTATGACCATTCACTGTTTTTCTGTCTTGGGGAATGAATGTAGGAGTATTTTTCCCCTTCTAAAAGGAGGAGAAAGCATCAAAATAATGAATAGGGGCTAAGACAACTTTTTCAGGAAAGTGCAGGTGGCTTGCATCAACAGTTTTCAGGATTCTTAACAATTCTGATACTTTGTAGAACATCCAAACTGTTGTGTACCCTCTTAGCAACTTCATTAAAGCCTGGAATTACATACCAAATGCATTGCACTGGTTGACACCCAACATTTTGGGTTTATAGATGCACAAGGTGCTAATGTTTTTCAGCTCTAGTTCTTTTAATACTATTATGTATGTTTTGGTTTGTGTCTGTAGGGCTTTCAGAAGCTCCATGTAGAGATTTACCAAATATATTCTTCCCAATTTAAGTTCCCATAAATAGTTTTCCAATATTTCTGGCTGTGTTTTTGGTTCTGTGAAAGCCACTTAACTATGGCATAACTTCAGAGGCTTTCCATGTTCATATTTTTGAGGAAAAAGCAGTGGTGTAAGGACAGAAGTAAAAGAATGTCCTTTGGATAAATCTTGCTTGAGTTCAATCACAGTTGATTTTTTTGGTCTCCCTTCTCTTGAAACACTACTGTGTTGATGAGTGAGAAGAGAGGGGCATGGTTCTTGGGTCCTGGAGACTTCTCTGATGATTCCTCTATAGCTTAACCCCAGAATACCACTCAAATCCTTTTCATTTTGGGTACCTGAAGTCTTAGAAGCCTTTTTTTTCCTCAAAAAATGGTCACATAAATTAATCTGGTAAGAATCTTGATTAAACTGTATACTGTACACTTGGGACTATTCTTACTATATAGTCTTGGAGGAGAACTAAGTTAGCAAGCTTTTCCCCTTTGTCCTCTTACAGATAGGAACAGATAAGGTGTGGATCACAATCTGAAGACATTTTATGTGGCATTTTGAGGATTAATTACTTTTAAATTAAAAGTAGAATGACTGACTGATTTTGTCTTTTGAAGCAAAATGTCTTCTGAAATCAACTGAGTTTTTTTAGTGATGAGTCAAGTTGTCTTTTTTGTGTACAGTAAATAATTCAAAATATTTGTGCTACTAAAGCAGATTTTTTTGTTTTTAATTCTTTGTGCTTACTCTTAAATTACCAACAACCTGTAGTTTTAAGATTTTCTGCTATACTTCTTACAAACTTTTCATTCAAAGTTTTGTTTCATTGACTGGAGGTGGTTCAGTTACTTGACTAACTTTTGGATTGGGAATGTCATTCATCACTATGCCTGTTTGAACTTGACAGTTTTGGTGGAGTTTTGTTTGGTTTATTTCTAGCATTTGACTCTAAAAATCCGTTGGGTTTTTTTTCTTTCCTCTTTTGGTTAGATTGATCCAAACCCAGATCAGCCCACAGATGACAGACCATCTTGCCCCTCTCGTTGAAGGAATCTGTAAGAAGCTGACTTGACTTGGGTTTTGAATCACACCTGCCATGTAGAAGGTCGAGGCATCATAGTGGAGAGACACTTTCAAAGGAAGTGGTTTTGCTTAGCCTGTATGGTGAAATAATGAAAACAACCTGTGATCATGCTTTGAAGCCTACAGTAACATTGTAGGACTGCTCCACATGCTTGAAGACCTGAGCTTCTTTTTTTCTTCTCCCACTTAAATACTGGCACATACTAGGAGCAGCCTTACTAACCTACAGTCATGTGTGTCAAAACACTCAAACCACATTGTAAGAAAAAGGGGATGGCTTCCTTATAATTTGGAAATTTGCACATGTTCATTGCTTATGTTGTGCGGTTCAGTGTCACTACAGCTTTTATTCTCATTTATGCTGGACTGTTGTTACCCCCCCTCTTGTTTGTGGTCCGCACAATAAGGAGCAAACGAAAGCTTTGACAAAAAAAACAGCAGCAACAGACTGACAAATGCACTGACTTTTCTTTTTTTTTTTAATTTAATGTAGCCTGGACTTTACCTGCATATGCACATGCTCAGAATTGTCCTAGTAGGCTGATCATGTATCACCTCTTCAGCTTGGATCCTATTGTGGATTTATTTACAAACATCAAATGCCTTCAAGCCAATCCTTCTTGCTGTATGTTTTGCAGCCTACTGTAGTAGATAAGCAACAGATGTGGGGATAGGGTGGGGGTGGAGAATTAATAGAAAGAAACTAATAGACTTCATCAAGATTGTATACTTTCTTGATTTCTTTTTAAGAATTTGTTGCCTTTCTACTATTAACGCAAAGCAGCATTTTGTTACAGACTGCCTAAAATCACTTAATCTCAGGTGAACTCATCACTTGCCAAACTGTTCGAATGCTATTTGTTTTGTTACGTTGCACTGTTGAGTTACTTCTTTTTTTGTTTTGTTTTGTGTTTGTGTTTTTTGTTCTTTACTTGAGAGGGGGATCTGGAATAGGGACATACACAAAAGTTAGAAAACCCACCCTCATTCCCATTGCTCTTTCTACATTATAAGAAAAGAAGATGTTCAAGTTGTGAAGCTTTAAAAGAAAAAGAGATAAAAAGGCACAAATGAAAGTAGCACCAGCAGACACCAGCTCAGCCTCGCAAAGAATTTTAAAAGGAAATAGTCATACCCTGTCCAGGATTCATAGACAGATTAATATCCCAAGTAGTAGGGATGGGAAGGGAAAGTAAATTTATTTTTATATATAGTTACCTTTTCACCAAGCATTCTATATGTAATGAGTCTCTAGTAAAAAGTATATTTCAAACTGTAGGAAAAGCTTGGACTATGCTAAAGAGCTCAGTTTGTGCACTTTGTATTATCTTCAGGGTTTATGATACTATAAAAATAGAAAAACTACAAGTATAATTAAACTGGGCAAGATCAGCATTACCAGTCATACTCAGATACCAGTTAGCTGGAATTACTCCAGTGTTGGCATCTTCTGTGGTACTCTCAAGAGCTTCAGAACAAGTGCTTACCATATATTGAGTCAGTATGCAAGAAATTTCATGGGAAGAGCAGTTGCCCTTGAGTATGCCTCAAAGAAGAAGAGTGCAATGGAGCCATTAGGTGTGCTAAGAGAAATACCAACACTGACATGCTAGAGACTTACAGCAAAAGTCAAGTTTCCTTTTCAGAAATTGTGTAACACAGTCAGCTAGCAAAGGGACACGCTTGTGGTGTTGACTACTTAAACAAATGAAGATGTAATCCATCAAGTGTCTTATCTCCTTGTGCAATAAAACCACTCAGAAGGGAGCAGGAGAGGGGAGGCTGGTGTTCCTTGCCAGGTGCTCATTCATAAAAACCTCTGCCTTGTTTTTAAGGCTTCATAAATGCGACAAAATGGGCTTTTCCATAAGTGGCCTTTATGAGAACATGAGTGATAATTCATGTTTTGAAAATGACAACAGGGTGATAAAATGAGTCGCGTTTTAAGTGATTCAGTTAAAAGGCTTGGGCTTTGAGCAAGAATATTGGATGAGAAGGAAATTGGGTGATGACTTGATGTTACTAGGCCAATTTTGTGAATGTCCCTTCCCTCTGCCCTCTCTAACCAGACAATTTTTAAAAGCTGATGGGATCGTTGGCATAAAAGGGCATTTGGTGGTTTTACTTTTTTTTTTCCTTTTTTGTTACTTTAACAGACTAGGGAACAATTGCTGTTATACATAGCATTAAAGTACTTATCACAATATAATAAAAAAATGCATATGAAGCAGGATTGACCGATACTGTAGTAATTGACACGGCATCACAGCCTTTGTGATTAGACTGAAAAATTCTATAACCTTATGAAATAAAGACTTTTCAGTTTAAATTATGTCGTTAGTTGTTCAGAGGCATTACTCTTCCACAAATATTGGTCAATTCTCAGCGTTCTAAAACATGAGGTTCACAGTTGTAGCCCAGTATTTGATAGAGAATTCTGATCTGAATTAGGAAAAAGTAAGTAAAATCCAAACATAGAGAAACAAAGTGCAATATTAAATGTTTGCTTTATAGATTATATTCTATGGCTGTTTGTACTTTTTTGTTTTTAGTTTTGGTGCTGAATATGTCCTTGTAGACTCTTGTTTCAAGAAAACAGTATGTGGAAAACAATTTAATTTTTCCTATTGCTCTTCCTTGTGGAAAATAAACTTTTGTAAAAAAAAGAAAAAGCTTTACAATGTTTTCAGTAAGTTATAATTCAAAATTTATTATGCAAGTATGTCTTCAAAAACATGTTTATGTATAAAATAATAACTGTGAGGGTTACATAATACAGGAACTTGGTGCAGGAATACAAAGACTATGTGTCACAAACTAGAGAGGGGAAAATTGTTCCTAGAACTAATACTACTGAGTATCACAAACTCCTGCTTCAGCACCCTTGGCCCCTTTTATTTACACCACTGACTGCTTGCAGCCAGGCCCCAGATGGGAGACTACAGTTTCCAACCTTGGAAAGTACCAGTAACTGTCCAGATACGTGTGCCTTTCCAGGACACTGTTAGTGTGTCACTGCAGATGTAGTGACCCTAGTTCTAGGCTTCAGGTCTTTCCCACCACATAGGGCTGGGGGTCAAGTAGGGGACAACAGGCATTTTTTAAGGAAATGGAGGAGGAATGACCAGAGATGTGGTTGCAGCTGCAACTTGGGTGTGGGATGGAGAAGGTGCCCTTTGCTGTGCCCTTGCAAGGTCCAGTGTGACCTGATGTTGAGGTGGCCACTGTGGTGGAGCTCTGTGGGTACCCGTGCAGCTCCCTGGCATGCCAGTGGCCAGGCACGGTTGTGGCATCTTGCTTCTGCTTGCCACACGCAGCTGGGCCTCGGTCAGGACAGATTGTCGTCATCCTCAGGATCAACATGTTGTTTGACCTAAGAGAAGGTTCAGTAGGCGAGCAGCCAGGGGCTTGGGCAGCCAGCGCGTCCTGTTCCTTTCTGCTGGCCTTCGGGATACAGGGGGCTCATGGCATTCCCAGTGTTGCACCCTCAGGTTAGCAGTGCAGCCACTCATGGATAACCCCAATGTGCATACAGCTCCATACCCAACACAAACAGTACACCTTACCTCAGCTCAATGTTGAGTTTGTAACTGCTGATGGAGAAGCCAGGCAGACCTTGCAGGATTCTTTTCCCCTACTAACAACACAGTTAATAATTTGTATCTGAGTTCTGGTTCAATAAGAAATGCATTTGGGAAGCTGTGGCTCCCCCCTACCTGGAAGTGTTCAAGGGCAGATTGGATAGGGCTTTGAGCAACCTGGTCTGGTGGGAGGTGTCCCTCACCCATGGCAGATGATCTTTAAGGTTCCTTCCAACCCAAACCATTCCATGATTCTGTTCATCTACTTGGAACTCTATAGCAGAGTAACAACATTTTTTTTTTCTAATACCAAAACAACCCTTCATAGTAACCAAGTTTCCAATGCTACGAGGCATTGTTAGAATTTAAATTGCAGCTGGGCCTCGGTCAGGACAGATTGTCGTCATCCTCAGGATCAACATGTTGTTTGACCTAAGAGAAGGTTCAGTAGGCGAGCAGCCAGGGGCTTGGGCAGCCAGCGCGTCCTGTTCCTTTCTGCTGGCCTTCGGGATACAGGGGGCTCATGGCATTCCCAGTGTTGCACCCTCAGGTTAGCAGTGCAGCCACTCATGGATAACCCCAATGTGCATACAGCTCCATACCCAACACAAACAGTACACCTTACCTCAGCTCAATGTTGAGTTTGTAACTGCTGATGGAGAAGCCAGGCAGACCTTGCAGGATTCTTTTCCCCTACTAACAACACAGTTAATAATTTGTATCTGAGTTCTGGTTCAATAAGAAATGCATTTGGGAAGCTGTGGCTCCCCCCTACCTGGAAGTGTTCAAGGGCAGATTGGATAGGGCTTTGAGCAACCTGGTCTGGTGGGAGGTGTCCCTCACCCATGGCAGATGATCTTTAAGGTTCCTTCCAACCCAAACCATTCCATGATTCTGTTCATCTACTTGGAACTCTATAGCAGAGTAACAACATTTTTTTTTTCTAATACCAAAACAACCCTTCATAGTAACCAAGTTTCCAATGCTACGAGGCATTGTTAGAATTTAAATTAGCACCAGGACACATACCAGCATTCCTGAGCAACATTTTCTTGACATCTCACGTTTTTAGACCAGTACCTCTATTTAACAATTTCAGTTAAACTTTGTTTTGTTACCAAAGTTTCACTATTTGAGATACGATTTTTTTAATGCAGATGTTTCTTATTTCTGATTAGAATACCTGCATGCACATAGTCTGTGCTACAACTCAATGTGAAATTAATTGCTCTTCCCCCTCAGTTGCCTGTAAAAATGTATAGAAGGGCAGCAAGTTAAAACTCTTGGGCAGTTAAACTTCTGAGAGACTCAAAAGCAATGTTGCTGAATTGATGGATGCCTTTTCTTGCAACTACCTAGCCAAAACACGTTACCTAGCACTTTTTAACCCCTTTCTAGATTTCAGCCTTTTTGTGTTTTACAGAAAGGAATCACTGAATGTATTTGGTTGGAAGAGACCTCCAAGATCATCCAATCCAGTCTTACACCTAACACTCCAAGCTCACCACTAAACTGTGTCCCTAAGCACCAGGTCCACATGCCATTTAAATGCCTCCAAAGATGGTGACTCCACCACTGACCTGGGCAAACTATTCCAATGCTTGACAATCCTTTCAGTGAATAAATGCTTCCTAATACCAAGCCTAAACCTTGCCTGGCACAGCTTACATCCATTCCCTCTGGTCCTATCACATGTCAGCAGGGAGAAGAGGGGACAAAAGTTTTACAAACTGGCCACAAACTGGCTGCTGTAGCTTTCCACAGCATGGCCACAAGCATCAAGCCCATCTGCGGAACCGAAGAAGGGTCCCCAGAAGCAGCATGTGAAGCTGGGCATCCAGCCAACACCTCTGCCCAGGTGGATGCTGGGACCCAACTCCTGTGATTTGAGGCATGTGGTGATGGCCAACTCTACAGAGATGCCCAATGTAGATTTGCAGTACACTAGTGATACAGAGGACAGCTGCTCCTGGGGATGCAGAGTCCAGACTTCCCTCATTTCATGGATTTTGAGCAGTGCCCTATCTTCAGAGGTACATAGAGACTTGAGATCCCAGGGCTTGCACTGCATCACCATTACTGTGGATTTCATCTCCTAGTTTTGGGGTTTTTTTAGTGAAAGATGCTTACAAAGGCACATCATCAGGCACGTTCCACCTGACCTCCAGACCGTATCATGGGAACAGGAGAAAAGTAACCTATTTTTTCTCCCAGCAATCATTCACTCTTGGAACTTCCCCACCTAGCTACAGCATGCTATTTTTAGAGCTGGATCTCCCTGTCTCCTGTCGTACGGGACATTAGGAC